GTTAATGGCCTTGGGATGTTGTAAATGTGCAAAAAACAACAGCAAAAACAGCCCTCATAATATGAGGTCCTCGCAAGAGTCCTGTATATGGACTTGGTAAGGGAAGAAGGCACATTCGGGGCAGAAGAGGATGGTTGAAGGCCACCAATGATTCCTGGCAAATTATTAATAAAGGGTGAGGGCCAGGGACCCTGGGGGACTGAGGAGGTGAGAGAAATTCCCAAGGAGTACACCAAGTTAGACAAAAAAATCCGAATTCACCATGTCACTTGGTTATTATTTAAGGGCCGCTGACTTGCCTAACAGAGCATGCAAGCATCATCTGCAGGCTGGGGGGTGGAGGGAAGCTCAGTTTTCTGAGAAGACCAAAGCTCCGTAGACCTCATGTGAGATTCCTGTGAGGCAAGTGTGGGGACATGGGCTGTGGGGGCGGAAGGGTTGTGCCTGGAAGCCCCTGGGCCTAAGCTTTCTGGAGCAGTGGGCCTAGGTTAGAGGAGTTTGAGGTTGTCATGGAGAGAAAACTCCTGGTTGGGTGTGTGCCACAATTGTGAGCCTTCCCACTGCTCCCTTGAGGGAATGGCACCTTTTTTGGAGACGTGTTTTATTAAGCAGAGCTTGACTCGGTGAAGAACCCACAGTGTCACTGCACTTTAACAGGGGCAGTGGGGAGTGATTTTCTGGGAAAGAGCCTGCTGCTTGCCTGTCGGTGGCCCTGACCTGGCACTTCCTCTCTCCTGCCTAACCCTGTGCCTTTGGGATCAGTTGCCCTGAGGCAGAGAGCAGGAGAGGCCAGGGCTGTGGAGATCCTCCTGGAGGCAGGTGAAAGTCACCAGGAGGGGGCAGCGTAGCACGCACCTTGGGCTTCCGTTTCTGTCCGGAGGCTGTGGGGCAGGGAAAGAAAGCTGTTAGCTGTTTGCTGTTTGGGTGGTCCAGGGAAGCAAGAACTTGAGCTCAGGTGTGTTTGCCCACTGAGTCACTGAGAAGCCCTGGAGTCTGACTTTCCTGCTGTTATTTCCTTTGTATGATTGTTGCAATCTCTGTCTCTCTTTCTTTCCCTCTGTCCCTCCCATCCTTTCTTGCTCTCTCTCTCTCTTTCTTGTCTTTCTTTTTTCTTCATAAATTTTAAAAATTCAAAAAAGTGTAATGACATAATAACTTTATATAATTACATTCAAAAATGATAGTTTAACATTTTTATCTTTTTGATGTAAGTTGTTTCTCTTTTAATAAAATAGTTTAGCAGTTTAATAACATAAATGGTATAAAGAGTTTAAGTTATGTGTGTGTGTGTGTGTGTGTGTGTGTAAAACCCCAGACCATTGTCCTTTCCCAAGGCCACCTTCCTTGGAATCATCTTTCTATACTTTGCATATCTACTTGACTGTGAACACTATGTGGTATTATTTTTTATATATTTTTAAAAGTTCACATAGATTGTTTTATATTACACATACATATCAGTATACAATTCTGCCTATCTTCTTTCTCACTTAGCATGGCAGTGTCTTTCTGCTCAAATATGTAGATCTGATTTAATCTTACATATATATATATATTTAACACACCTTATTTTAAACAATTTCTGTTTCTTTGTGGATGGACACTTGGGTTGCTCCAGCTTTTGACTCTATGACAATAAATGTTGTAATATTCTACTGATCATATTACAGTGACTATTCTTGAGTCCATATGTGAGAACTTCTCTTGTGTGAATACCTGGAATGGAATCGCTGGGTCATGAAGGGTGCTGATTTATAATTTTCCAAGATACAGGCCAAGTGCTTTTCAAAGTAGTTATAACAATTTACACTTCCTCCAACAATTTCAGAGAAATTTCATCACATCTGTAGAAATGTTTTACATTGTCAGGCTTTAAACACTTTGTCAGTCTAGTGGGAGAGGAATAGTATGTCACTGTTATTTTAATTTGCATTTCACGTTTCTTGGGAGATGAGCAACTTTTCATGTTTCTTGGCCACCGAAGTTTCCCCTCTGTGAATGACCTGTTATTCACATTACTGGCTTCTTTTTTAACCCTATGATTTGATTCTTCACTTAGTGGTAGCTAAAGAGAGTTTCTTAGGGGGTAGATTTCTTGAGTAGCTTGTAGCTAGCGTCTATATTGTGTACATGACTACACATAGTAGCTTATGAGGGGGAATTCTTGGGATCTACTACTAGAAGAGCCCTTGCTGAACTTTTAATCCAGCTCTTCTGTTGGCCTTTCCATCTTGGCAAGGAGAAAAATTTATTTATTTATCCAGGGCATTCTTGCCCCCACAGTAAGGGAGTATTCTCTAGTGACCATTTTTCATCACTTCTTTTGATGGTTTTCAGCAAAATTTCCTGTCTGGTCTTAGATTTCGGAATAGTGGTGCTTTGCTTAATTGGCTCATTTTCATCTCATGAATACTGTGAATTTACCATTGACCAAATTTATCCTCATCTCCTTCTTTCTTGGGCACTGGTGACTAGAAAGCATAGAATTAAGCTTGTGTGTGTGTGTTTTTCTTCCTAACAAGTGTATGCATTTCTAAACTGAATTCCTGGCTCCATTGATATCTCTTTATTTTTTATTTATTTTTATTTTTAAATTAAATTATCTTTTTCTTTTTTTTTTTAAAGCCCACATATTTTTGTACAATCCATGGACATCTCTACCCCTGTCTTTTCTCCTCTATGCCTTCCATTTTTGTTTGCTGGTTCGTTGTATTCTATTGAATAAGATCGGGGAGTTGATAAATTAAATGTCTGATGAAAAAGGAAAAGAAAGGGCATAAGTAACAAAAAGTTAAAGATGAGCGCCTTGTGCAGATCATGATAAAGTCCTCATTGAGTTCCAGGCCCTTGTTGTGAGCATGGAAGATGCAAGGATAATCCAGGAAAAGAGTGAGGAAGAACTCTCAGTGACTTCAGGGCAGTGACGGGACCCATGCTTACGCAGCTGGAAGGAGTGGACAGGCTTGCCTGGAAGCCTAGATTGTGACTCCAGAGGAAAACGCGCCCACGTTATCTATCCTTTTTGCTGTCAGTTGCATGAGAAAAAGTATTAACATTCAGGGCTCTTTGGAATGCAGTTCTTATTGTGAGATCATTTAGAAGAGTGAGGTCACTGTGATCTCTATTGAAAATGTTGGTGAAAAATCTTGCAAAAATGTATCTAAAGTATGATAACTCTGAAACACTTGATATTAAAAATTGAGCATTCCTTTCAAGTCTTAAAATGTTTCCTTCTTCTATGGGAGGAGGGAAGGGAACAAAAGCTTCCTGCACATTTATTAAGTGTGCCAGGCCCTGGGTATAAGGGACAACAAATAATTTTTTCAGAAAAAGTCACCATTCTATCTTGGAGGCTAGTTTTTTTTATGTAACAGGGGACAATGTTTGTGGGGATGCTTTTAAAAATATTTATCTTTGGTGTAATTTTGTCTTCTCAGAGAATCTACTTATTTTTATTTTTAAAATTTATTTTCTAAAAAGAGGTGCCCAAACCCTTACCATACAGCTTGTCATCATTTTCCTCCACACAGTGGCTGACCTATAGATGCTATACGTTCCTCCCCATCATTTAATATTTTTTTCATTTTAACTCACATTGTTAACAGCAGGGCTACATATTTGTTTTCAGTGTCTTAATTGGAATATGTTATATATCTTAAATTTTTTCAGGAAGAAAGGGGAGAATTCATCCTGCATAATTTCTTGTAGTGCCTTTGTAACTCCAAGTACAGTTCATCTGTTTCTCCATCTGTCCATCTATCCATCCATCCATCCATCCATCCATACATACATACATACATCCATCCATCCTTTGAGTACCTACCTTGTACTGGGTACTGAGCTAGGTGAGTTATAAAACAGATCTAACTGTCTCAAAGACATTGTGATCTAAGAAAACTGAATAGACAGGTATTTAAATAACTGTAGTACAGGGTAGAGTATAGGAATTCCATGATGATGGTTTTAATAGCTATTTGTTCATATCACTAGGGACTTTACTGATTGCAAATGATAGAAATTAAGATCAATTCAGGTTTGTGACATCTAGCCTCAGAGACAGTTGTATCTAATGGCTCAAGTGGTGTTTTTAGAGTTCTGTCTCTTTAACTCTGCTTCTTTCTGTGGACTGACTTAATTTTTGGATGATCTATTTCCTTGTAGCAGAAAATTTCCCCATGGTAGTCGCAGGCCTGTGCCATCCTTCAGCTATGATCCCAGAGAAAGACAGAGACCCTCTCTTTCCCAGCATTCATTTATTTAATCTCAGGGAAGACTCCTCTTGGTGTAATTGAGGTCATGTGCACATCTCTAAGACACCAGCGTGGCCAAAGGGATGGAGTTTTCTCCATCCACCCCTATATTGGAGGGCTTAGGGGGTGGGGGAGGGAGGAGTGTTCCCATGGAGAACGCGCTAAGGCTGCGTTGGGGTTTGTGAAATGTGGTTCATCGAAGGAAAGATTGATATTGTTACTGACAAAGGCAGAAGGAGGAGATGCTGGGGCAGGAAAATAGAGAAAAGAGGACAGGGTAGGGGAAATGCACTTTAGTATTTTAGGAGGTAAAGGAGGGAGTGGCTGTTTCTCTTGAAATGTGAGGAAATATGTGACTTTTCTTGTGCAGTGATGACAGTTGCATCTCTGTGGCTGTCACCATAACAGTAGAAACACCTTTGAGAGGAATAGATGCAATTCCATGGTATTTTCACCTATGTACACTGGTGATACTCTGAAAGGGAAAGAAAAGTGAAATTGTTGGGTGAAAGATTGATAAAACAGGAGAAATGAAACCCAGTGAACTGGTTATTGACCATGAAACCTGTCAGTCATGGTTTCTGCTCAGTCATGCTCAGTTTTGCTCTCCTGCCATATTTTTAAAAATGGCGAGGTTCGGATGGGTGTGGAGGGAGTGCCTTGGACACCTGGGTGAGGTGGATGGGAGTTCTTCATGGTGCTGCTGCCTACATTCTGAGTCACTGCGATTCACTCTCTGCTTTGTTACAGTTTCATCGCAAATCAGAAAAGGTTAGAAATCATCAACGAAGATGATGTTGAAGCTTACGTGGGACTGAGAAATCTGTGAGTACTCAGGACCAGCACACATTATCTCAGAGATTTTTCCTATTGTCTACTCTGGTCAGGCAGGCATTCACTGGTTCGTTCTAATATGCGTGAAATTATGCGTCTTCACAGGACAATTGTGGATTCTGGATTAAAATTTGTGGCTCATAAAGCATTTCTGAAAAACAGCAACCTGCAGCACATGTAAGTAGAGATTGATTCTTTTGCTTCCTAGGACCTATTTTATTCAACATTTCCCCCCTCTGTTTATTTTCCTTCTTTTCCGACTCGAAACCTCCCTTTTTAAAGTTAGTATAGCTGTGATAATGGCTTAGAAACATTAGCTCTGATTTTGTTTGATTGTTTGAATAGCTTCAGAGGGGTACTTAGAACAGGCTGTTTATTCCCTTTCATGAATTTCTGGGCCAGTTCCATCTTGGACAGAGCAATAGGCTAGCAGCAAGGAGTCTGATATGAAAACTGTGTCCTTGCACAGAGTTCTTGATTTTCTTCCTTGGAATCATGACATGCTCCCTGGAAGACATCAAACCAGTGGAACTGAAAGAAGCTGACTTGGCCTTGGCCTTTATGGGGAAATAAAAATTACTGTTGTTTCCCCCCCCCCCCCGCCACAATAGGATTCTCTTTTGAACCTTCCTTTTCCCAAAGTCGTCTGTCATGAATTGATAAAGGTAGAGAAAAATCAATCATGGGACATGCCAAAGGTACAGAAAATCATTAATAATGGGAACTATTTCCCCAAAGTCTTGTTGATGCTTTGTCCACTGAAGTCAAATGGAAATATGGACAATGGGAACTGTTAGCTTGTTTGTTGCTAAATCCTCTAGATGATGGCATTTAAGTCCATAAGGCGTGGCTTTCCTGAGAGATGTCTTCGTTGAACTAAAGATCACCTAGGTGCAGAATATTTATGCATCTCTGAGCACAGACTCAGAACTCCCATTCCCTGAGTTTTAAGTGGAGCTTCTGCCAGAAGGTTGTTGCCTGCATTCATTGATTCTGTTTTGCTGTACCAAATTCTCTTTGCAATGATACCTTACATATCATTGTCTATCTATGGGACCCTCACCTGGAATATTTCACATGATTTTTTTCTGATAATTGGTAGTGCAGATCTTTTTATTCACATTTCATAGATGAAATAAGAGTGAGGGTTTCCAGCTTCATCCATGTCCCTACAAAGGATATGAACTCATCTGTTTTTATGGCTGCATAGTATTCCATGGTGTATATGTGCCACATTTTCTTAATCCATTCTATCATTGATGGACATTTGGATTGGTTCCAAGTCTCTGCTATTGTGAATAGTGGAAACCATCATTCTGAGCAAACTATTGCAAGGACAGAAAACCAAACACTGCATGTTGTCACTCACAGGCGGGAATTGAACAATGAGAACACTTGGACACAGGGTAGGGAACATCACACACCGGGGCCTGTCGCAGGGTGCGGGGAGGGGAGAGGGATGGCATTAGGAGATATACCTAATGTAAATGATGGGTTAATGGGTGCAGCACACCAACATGGCACATGTATACATATGTAACAAACCTGCACGTTGTGCACATGTACCCTAGAACTTAAAGTATTAAAAAAAAAAAGGTGAGGGAGTTCTAGGACTTGCTCAGATTTACAGATCATAAGTGTCAGAGTTATGACTCCAGGGCCAACCCCTCTCCATGTTCTTACATTAAGAGTACAGGAAATCAAATCTGTATCATCCATATAATTAGAGAATCAGACTTTCTTAGAAGGTTTGTCCTCTTTCTTTTTTTGAGAACAGTTCCCCAACTGATTTCCATGCCAGTTTTAAAAGAAACCATTCTCTTAGAAGCAGATTGCCTGGACACTCTATTGAAATTTGTTGATATTATGGAAAATATTAATTTCATAAAGCCAATATCACAGCTTCATATTTTATAGGTGGCATTAATGATGAAGTCACTTTAAAAATACAGTCTGTAAATTAAGACATAAAACATTCTGCAAAAATGTGATAAAACTCCAGGGAACTTTATTAACACATTTCAATTAAATGATTTTTGGAATCATCTCTGCAGTCTGCACAAATCTTTGCCTGCACAAATCTGATGGCTGCGTAGGCCTTGATAGCATAAACAAGAGAGAAGTTGGAAAGAAGAAAAAGGCAAAATGCTCTAATGCAGTCACTTAGATGTAATTAATGACCTCAGTGGTTAAGTTCTGGTATTTTCATTACAGTTGACCTTAGACCCGAATTACTCAACAACTGCATTTTACTGGCTGTTTTATCACATCACTTCTCCTAATGTTGTGATTTGGACAGCGGGCTCTGGCTAATTACAGTTTTATTAATAGACTTACTTATTACTTCACTTTACTTTGTATATTTTCCTTGTTGCATGTTATTTCTGTGAATATGAAAGCCACCTTGTATATTTGTTCATGTTGATATATGATAGAATGATTTTGGTGGTATTCTTTGTGCAGTATACAGCTTATACAAAGTCAAATATCTGTCCCTTGTTTCCAGAGAAGAATTATTTTAAAATGGGAAGCTAAAGGGACATACATATCTTACACAGTTTTCTTTTTTTCTTTTTCTTTTTTTTTTTTGAGACGGAGTCTTGCTCTGTCACCCGGGCTGGAGTGCAGTGGCCGGATCTCAGCTCACTGCAAGCTCCGCCTCCCGGGTTCACGCCATTCTCCTGCCTCAGCCTCCCGAGTAGCGGGGACTACAGGCGCCCGCCACTGCGCCCGGCTAGTTTTTTGTGTTTTTAGTAGAGACGGGGTTTCACCGTGTTAGCCAGGATGGTCTCGATCTCCTGACCTCGTGATCCGCCCGTCTCGGCCTCCCAAAGTGCTGGGATTACAGGCTTGAGCCACCGCACCCGGCACAGTTTTCTTAAGAAGCAATAGCTGGGATGTCAATCATTGATCAAATTGCAAAAACACTACTAATATTTGTAGCCATTATTGAATAGTAAGACAGAGAGAAATAGGCAAGTATCCGGCAGTTATGAAGAGGTCATCAGATGGCAGTAAGCGTCATATATTCACAGGACAAAAGAGGCTCTTAATCACCAAAATCTGAAATTAAATTAAGTAGTTTGCTTTCGAGAACAGTAGGGAGGAAGGAAGGAATTAAGTCAGGTGTCTGCCTATCCGGATCTTAGACCTAACCTCTGCTTATGATGGAGGACTCTGGGGACCAGCTTGGTTGGTGGTCCCCTGATTTTCCACATGCAAATTGCACTTTTACCTCAAATATCAAGGCAGTGGGGTGCAAGGGAGCTGATAACAAAATATGTATTAAAAGCTGTTTCTCTGTACCCCTGGGATATACTGATGATCTCTCTGAGTTTCCCCAGCAATATAAAAACGCATACAAGATCAGTCCATTTCACTTCGGGTTTTAGGGAAATTTAAACGGGATCCTCTCACTTTCTCCACTTCTCCCCCTACCCTGTCCATATTAGCATCACATGGGGACTGCCCAGAGCCCCACAGAGTGGTCACTGCGGTATTTCTTGATTCCTTTAATTCCTGCCCAGCCCCTAAGAGCCCAGGGACTGTGAGAAAAGCTGGTATTTGTGTTTTCCAGGGACTTTGCAGAGGTGCTAATTAGCTCCCTTGCAAAGCTCTATAATCAAACAGTAAGAGGATTGTTGATTTTTTTCCCTCCCTTCTTCCTCCTTTTTGGCTTTTGGCCCCAATAATAAGTATGATTCATAAGACTCATCTTGTTCTTTGGCCCATAACCCCGCTCTTTGCGGTGCTGCTGGCGGCCCCACGGAGGCAGCAGCTCCGCGGGGCGGCGGTTTTACCAGCAGACAGGGAGACCCTTCACCCTAAACCTGTTTTCTTCGCTGCGTCTCTCCGCCTTTTCCTTGAGGAGGAAAGCAGGTTTTTGGTTTTTGGTTTGTTTGTTTTAGAAAGATTGGGACTTCCGATGAAAGCATTTGTGCCTTAGAAACTGTGGAAAAGATAGGCAGACTGACTTTTCAATGCATTGTAGACCAGTGAAACCCACTCTTTTCTTGTTTGTTTGTTTGTTTTTGCTTTGTTTTAAGAAGGAGTCTTGCCGTTGTTGCCCGGGCTGGAGTGCAATGGCGCCATCTTGGCTCACCTCAATCTCTGCCTCCCGGGTTCCAGCAGTTCTCCTGCCTCAGCCTCCCAAGTAGCTGAGATTACAGGCGCCCGGCACCACAGCCGGCGAATTTTTGTGTTTTTCGGAGAGACGGGGTTTCGCCATGTTGGCCAGGCTGGTCTCAAACTCCCAACCTCAGGCGATCCACCAGCCTCAGCTTTCCAAAGTGCTGGGTTTACAGGCGTGAGCCACTGCGCCTGACCGAAACCCATTCTTAATTCACGTTCCAAAAGAAGAGACTTATGTGGGCACATTTTACAACTTCCTGGTGGATTATTTTTTCACGTGGGTGAGCACTTTATACTCAGTGTGAAGCGAGAAGATGCACGCCTAGAAGGAAGGAGGGTACCCTTGTGTAGGTAGGGGTTTGGATGAGTGGCGATCTCAATATAGAATTAAACTGGGAGTGGACACACACATTCATGATTTGTGAGACACCAGAGTGGTAGGTTCTTTCTTATCAACTGACTAGCCTTAGTTCATGCTTTGGCTCCTGGTTGTAACCCCAGGACTGTGTGACTGATCAGACACACCAGGATACTTCAGTGATGACTTCCTTAGGCTGACAGTGAAGAGTAGCCTCAAGTAAGGGGCCAGGATCACTGTCACCCTCAGATGTCATGTTTTTTATTTTTATTTTTTATTTTTTTATTTTTTTTTGAGACGGAGTCTCACTCTGTTGCCCAGGCTGAAGTGAAGTGGCGTAATCTTGGCTCACTGCAAGCTCTGCCTCCTGGGTTCACGCCATTCTCCTGCCTGAGTCTCCTGAGTAGCTGGGAATACAAGCATCCGCCACCACGACCGGCTAATTTTTTGTATTTTTTTAGTAGAGACGGGGTTTCACCGTGTTAGCCAGGATGGTCTGGATCTCCTGACCTCGTGATCTGCCCGCCTCGGCCTCCCAAAGTGCTGGGATTACAGGCGTGAGCCACCACGCCGGGCCAGATCTCATGTTTTGTCCAACTCTCAGCCCAACACTTGCCTTCCTGGGCAGGAAACATACGCTGAAAGACTCATTGGCTTCCTCCGTTTTGTAGAGGTCTTGGCTGTTTCTATGAAAGTTGATGTTTGTTTTACATTCATTTTATTTATTAAACACATCTGTAGGCCCAAGCATCGGACACTCTTTAAATAAATTTAAACAGTAAACAAATTTGCAGAGTGAGTCAGCTGCCAGGGTTATGGCTCTGAATTTCCTACCCCAAAATCTCATGGCACTGATCATTGGAAACTCTTTTATCGAATCAAATTACGTGTTTGGAACATGTCAGTAAATTATTATTTTTTTATCACAAATGTATCTTTTTATTGTCTGGTTGGTCCAAATCTGAAGACATACCGTCTTCAGATGAAATCTGATGTATTCCTTGTTATCTGATTTTTTTTTGTTCTCATCATGGAGGTATTCGGTTATTTAGCTCATATGTAAACAATCACAGTAGTGTTTTTTCATCAATAAAATGTCTTTCATATAAAGACATATTGAATTCAGTTAATATTCAGAGTTTTGTATGCCACATAATTTCAAAATATCCATGATGCTCTTTAGTTTTAAGGCGTCTTTTTTCCCTACTGGGTTTATAGTTTTAAATTTTATTTAATGTTACATATCTTCCTATTAATTGTTCAAAAGATCAGGATTTCTATGAGATATATAACTTGGCTCCAAATCAACATATGAAAAATAAGCTTTTGGGCGAAAAAGACATTAAAAATACACAATATGTTTATGCTACTCCTCCCTGCAAAGAAAAAAATATAGACAAGGTTAGAGGAAAAACTCAGCTATCACTCTAAGTGAAAGAGAGAGAGATTTGGATGTAAGTAAAGCATGCATAATGATCAAATAAAATTGCATTTTGTAAACAAAATCTCTGAATACTGTGTTCCTAAAATGTAACATTTTAAATTCATGTTTAATGTTTTTGATTCCTTTCAGCAATTTTACCCGAAACAAATTGACGAGTTTGTCTAGGAAACATTTCCGTCACCTTGACTTGTCTGAACTGTAAGTAATGATTTTGTGTGGCATTTGGGGAAAAGTTTTCAAAGGAAGGGGTAATTCAGTATTTTTCTTTTAATGAGTGATGTTGCAGATCTATTTTTATATCAAATTCTCGAAAAATGATTTCTCAAGTTTCACTCTCTCAGTCTTTTATTCCCTCATGGTTTATTATTTCTCATTTAAAAAATTCAGTAATTAAAAAAATAGAAATCTCAGTAGTGACATATCATTTCTGGTTCGTTTAAATGTTGTTTTTACATAAATAATTTCTAGTAGAGGGAAAAAAGAGAAAAAGAAGGGGGCTTTGTGTGAAAACAGCTATATACTTTATATCTCACAGCATCTGTTGGGTTCCTGTTGGATTCAGGCCCTAAAGTCAAGCAAACCCATTCAAAGAGGAAATAAAAATGGGCAAAACTCTGCTCACTTTTGTCCATCTTAAGGATAGGGAACATTGGAGGAAAGGTAGTTCTTCTCTTTCCCTACCCATCTTTGTGAGATTTTCTTCCAGGTCTGTTACTGCATTCAATATTTATTTTTAAGTCCCGTTTTCTTCTGTAGTGAAATGATAGAAAACATATTTAAAGGTGGTGACGACTAACAGCCAGGATTTCCAAGTGAGCTCAATTCCTTGCGTTGTCCCCATTAAACAAATATGAACTGTTGCCATTTTTATGGCACCTCGAAGCGTCCTAATGCAGAGGATTTGTGGGGCAGATGTGGGCCCAGGAAGAGGCCTTTGAAGATTAGACAATGGCATTTGCTTAAACTCTATGTTGCCTGAATTGTGGAGTCTTTTGATGAAGATCCATCCTTATTCACAAGGAAATTGTGCAGATTGGAAGATGTCACTGCTGGAGAGACAACAAGTTAATAGGTGTAATGGGTGTTATATGGTGAAAGTCTTGGCAATTGGCAATTATTTGGAATAAAGTGAATTCAGGGCATTGAAGCACTAATGCTTCTAACACAGGAATAGGCATGACAAACTAAAGGAAGATATATGAGATAGGATAAAGTACTTGGTGTAAAAATTTTGGGCGACATTGTTTAAAATTTTCTTGCTGGATTAAAAATTACAGTTTCAATTTCAAATTTATATCTCAATATTCTTCTTGAAGCATATTTAATCCATTGATTCAACCAATGTTAATTTTGTACCTATCACAAATCAACACGATATGGCACAGGGCCATGGGGATAAAGGGAGAAACGTTTCTATGTTCCTGGATTCTGTTATCCAGTGGGAGAGGTAGAAACCTAAAGATATAAGTGTAATGTGCTGTCATAATCATTGAGCTTGCACAGTAAGCTGGAGAAAGAAGCCAGCTGTGCACCAGTGTTGTGTTGTCATATGAACATTGCTGTATTCATAATTGAAACATTCCTTTCCTTCTTTATCCCTTCTGCTGAGTTAATGATATCCTGTTTTAGAAAGACTTTTTAGTTTTACATGTCCTCAGAGCTCCAGGAAGCATTTTGAATTAGTGGGGTTTAAACTGGTGGTGGGTCTTTTCTGTGTTCTTTTCCATATCCCATAACATCAAATCCCATTTTGGTGTTGGAGGGATACTTGGAGGTGATCAAGCAGACACAAATTAAATGAGTCTATCATGACCACATTTTCCCCTAAGAAACTCCTGGAAAAGTCTCCAGGGATCCCTGGGATTCTTAGAACCCAACCAGAAAACCACAGGACTAAATGATGTGGCAAAGTCCAGGTCCTGTCTTCACGGAAATCTTAAGTATTGTGGTTAATGCCAGGCAGAGTCTATGTAACGATTTTAAATGGCCTCATTTAAAGGCTCATTACCATAAATGGAATTCATCTTAAATAGGCCACTGAGTATTATAAATAAGCATTTAAAGATTTTTTTTTTCTTGTGGTTTTTATTTTCCTCTTGACTACTTCCTCTTTTACCCATTGCTGGCCACAAGAGTCCAGGCAGCAGGGCTGAGGTCTGAATGGCGGTGGCTTTTCACCCACAGTGGTCTAACACAGCTCAATCTGCAGCTCAGTTGTCTCGCCCTCAGAAGAGCTTGCTGTGCGTGTGTATGTGTGTGTGTGTGTGTGTGTGTGAAGGTCTGCAGCTCCCTTTCAGGTTCTCTTTCTCACCTTCACTCCTGCTATCTTGAATCAATGAAACTGACTGTGATTGCATGATGCAGAAAGCTAGGGGTTCCAGCCTTCTGGCGTTCACACTTTAGTCTTAGCTTTGTACTTACAGTCTCATTTTAAATTGAGATGAAATTGTTCTGCCCCCTGCTGAAGTTTGAGCTTAGAAAGTGGTAACACTTGAGCCTTTAGCCTGGTCAGAAATAAGCATGTTAGCATTCCTGAAAACTTCTTGTTGGCGTCTTCTTAATAACTCTATCATAACCATGATAAATTTGTCATGGCACCTTATTTTCCCCATGTTATGAGACGTTCTTTTCTATCCTATATTTTGGCTATTTCTCTCTGTATCTCGTTTCCCCTGTTATTCTGTAAGGTCTTCTGTCGTTCTCCAGTGCTGTCTGCACATAGCAGATGCTCAGTAAGTATCAGATAAATGAAGGAATAATAAGTACTGTCATGCTGTGAAAGTGGTATGACTTCAAAGCATTGCTGGCTAGAAAGAATTCATAATGCTGTAGTATTTTACAAGCACCAGTGTAGCTAAAATGGAAAAAGGAACTTGATCTTTTGTCATTTTTGTTCCCTGTAGGATCCTGGTAGGCAATCCATTTACATGCTCCTGTGACATTATGTGGATCAAGACTCTCCAAGAGGCTAAATCCAGTCCAGACACTCAGGATTTGTACTGCCTGAATGAAAGCAGCAAGAATATTCCCCTGGCAAACCTGCAGATACCCAATTGTGGTAATTTATTTTTAAAGCAATGTGTTCTAGTTGCTATTAATTATTCTTATTGCCTTGGTGTGGTAGTCTGGGAAAATTACCACTACCTGGATTGTATATAGTATTCTGTTGATGTCTCCAGTGAATCAGACAACATTTGTGTGTAGTGTGGAGTAATCGGCTGGGAGCAACTTTGCTGAATATTCTTTGCAAGTAGACTATTTATTCGGAGTGGGTGGCTGTAAAGTGCATAGAGAAAAAGTAGACTGCTTATTCTTTTTGTTTGTTTGTTTGTTCACTTGCTTATTTGCTTATGTTTGTTTATCCATCTATCCATGCATCCATTCATCCACCCATCTGTCTGGGCAAAAACTATCTGCTGAAAGTGTGGCACTTCTCTGGCCACATATGCCCTTGGTTGGCACCCAGGCCAGGGATCTCAGGGTGATGAAAGTGTCCTGGCAGCACAAGCAAATGCAATTCAATCCAGCACATTCCCTTAAACTTGTCTTACTGCCAGATGTCTGTGTCTCTTGATGGGGTGCCCCAAGTCTGCTGTGCTACGTGCTTCTCCCCATGTCTGGACTTCAGATCTCGTACTTTACCGTCATCCCCTACTCCTCTCCCCAGCATTTTCATCTCCAACATTTAAAAGGGCACTGAAGGGCAAAGTCAGAGCTCGTGTGAGTGCTAGTGAGTTATAAGGAAGGAATAGCAAAGTGTTCTGCTTAGGATTTTACTAGTTTTCAGTGATGTACCTCTACAATACCCACATGTGCATGTTACTCCCCCACTGACATTTGAATCAGTTAGTCAACCAGTTAACAAGTTCACAAACAATTATGTTTCATCTTCTGGCCTAGTGACTGGTGACACAGCAGAAAGCCATGTAGCACCTGGTTCTTGTGCACAAGGAATCTGTGTATTAACCACAAACAACCGATTCTTTGTTTTCGGAAGACCCTATTATTTGAGGTCTACTTTTTATTTAAGAAAAAAGGAGCTGCTGCACATGCTTCATAGGAATGCAATAAAAATAAAGATATGTGTCTGTTTCTTGCCCTGAATGACCTTAGAAGATGGCCCTGACCCTTCCCAAAGATTTTTCTGTCACAAATAGAGTCCTTTGGTTTCATAATGGGGGAATAAGGCTTTGTTCTCTTGCCAACCTCTATCAGTTTTCTTTGCTAGCTAACACTTTAAAAAAACCACAACTTTTAATATGTGTCTTTTCCTGATTGATAAGAGGGTAACTGTTCTCTGTTCTGGTACAAATTTGTACCACTGAGAGGAATTGCCTAGAGGGACAAGAAATTCAGTGTTGAGTCACCTGGCCTTTGGCCAGCTCCCAAATCCCCATGGCCTTTGTGGCCGCATTGGTTCAGCAACCACCGAGAGGAAAAGAGAGAAAGCATCTGACTCTTGCTCTGGTTTCACAAACTGCCTCTTAACAGACGTCTGCTTTGCCCTTGCCTGAAACCAATTCCATTTTTTTTCCATTTTAATTTTTGGTTGTGTTGTCTTGGCAGCATTCTGGGAATGCACCCCGCCTTACGTGTTATTGCTCGGCCATTGTGATTGGGATAGGGGACATGTAAGGAGTGAACTGGTCCTCATTTTTCCTAATCAGTTTGTCAATTTTCAATCATTTTTTATTTCTGTTTTCTACAAATTAGTCAACGAATTGTGTGTCTAAGAGTGAGTTTTTGAATCTAGTGTAATGAGGGCATGGGCTCAATTGATCCTTTAGGATTGAATGGTTACATTCACAGTAGCAGTCACAATTCATTTCAATGTCAAGGATGCTTTTCAAAAAGCAACATTATAGAAGAGTGTGGCAAGTGAATTGACAAACTTATTTTTCCTATCATTTTTGTGTTCTTGTTTTGTTCTTTCTCTTTTAATTTTTATTCTCTTTCAAGTGTTTTACTTTTTATAATTGCATGTATTATATTGATATGTTTTGTTGCAAAGGTAATTTCCTACATTACACATATGATGTTTGTCTTTTTCTTGCTCCTAACCATTTCAGGTCAGTAGTCATAGATCTATCATACTCTTTTTAAGCATTCCATGAAATTCATGGTACAAGGTGTCTTAATTAATTAAATGTTCCATATTGACGGGCATTTGGCTTATTTTCCAGTTTTTTGATACTGCAAAAATGTTTCAGCAAGCATCCTTATTCATGCTTTTTACACATGTATACAAGTGGAAAGGTTTTTTTTAGAATGCATAGAAAGAAGCAGAATTTTTGGTTTATGTGGTTTGCACAGTAAAAAATGGCTGTATCTATTTATGCCCACCCTGACAAGGTATACCTTGATATTAGCGAACTTATTAGTGTCTGTCTTTCTAAAAAATGCTGTTATGGCTTTTGAGTTTGCATTTTCCTGATTACTCTTGAGTATCTTATATGTTTATCGGACTGTGTTTATGCTTCGGCAAATTACCTGTTTATATCCTTTGTCTATTTTTCTGTAGGGTTTTTCCTTTTCTTTACTTTCATTGTTCTTTGTTTTTTCTTAATTGTTTGAAAGTGATAAATATTCCCTCTTTTAAAAAGTCTATAACACTGAAATATTTTCTGCACAAATTTAAATGTGTATTTTCTACATAGAGATAACCACCAATAAGGCAGGAAAAATATTTTTGCTTCCCTTTATTTCTTCTCCCAGCTCTCAGTTTGTTATCATCTGGGATTTTATTTCTATATTGTTACCTGACTTTTTTGAAGATGTATATCATAGACTTTTGTGTCCTACTGTGTTCTCTTGGTGCGATTGTTCTTTTTGCTGGAGTATATCTTCTAATACTTCTTTCATAGAGATTAAAAAAATAAAATCAAGTTCTTAAGTGCTGGGAAATTGGCCTGTATTTTTTCTCCTTAGTGAAATTTGCTGAGTAAAACATTATAGGCTCAAAAACTCAGAACTTTGAAGATACTGCACCATATTCTTTTTGTATTGAGTGTTGCTCATGAGAAGTCTGAGGTCAGTCTGATACTTGCTCTTTCTAGGTAACCTGTGCTTTTTTTAATTTTTCCACCTCTAGAAGTTTTGAGGATTTACTCCTTATCCATGTTATTCTTAAATTTCACCACAACGTAACTAGATGTGGGGTTAATTTTATTTTTAATTCTGCTTAGTGTAAGAGATACCCTTTCAATGTGGGGGTTCATGTCTTCAGTTCTGGAAAAATTTTCTTATTGATTGACTCAACGTATTCTTTCCATTTATTGTTTCATTCAGGAATCGACATTGGATAGATACTTACACTTTTGGCTCCACTCATGCTGGTCACCCTTTCCTTGGTAGTTTCCATCTGCTTGTCCTTGTGTACCGTATTATGGGAGAATTGGTTTACTCATCACTTAGCTCTTCAGCTGTTTCTCCAGCTGCTGATTTTTTTCCCTTTCAGCCACTGATGATCAATTTCCACAATCTCTTGTGAGTCATTTTTTTTGTGTGACTGAAATGCCCTTTTCCATACTGGGGTTTGCCACATCTCCAGGGAGTCCGGCAATCCTGCTCTACTTTTGGGTTCTTTGAGGGCCTCACTCTTTTGTGAAGCACATGGTTATGTGTCCATTTGGGGCTGTGCTCCTTTTCATTCATCCACTTCTGCTTTCTCTCACTCAGGAGTTCTTTATAGTTTCTTCTCCGTCAGTGGCATGCCTTCTATTTTCCAACATTGTTCTGGGTTCTAAGAAAAATATTGAGTATCACTTCTAGATATCTGGGATAAGAAAGGGAGCCTTCACTTTGAGGCTTAGTCATGTATTAATTTTCTTTTGATGGTTTCCCAACTGGTTCTTTCAGGAGAAGTTAGATCATCTAAACAGAAAATGACACTAGAATGTTGGATTTAAAATCTTTCTCTGGAATTCTGTGTTGAAGAAACCAGATAACATGCCAGTATCTTCAAGTTAGATGTCTTGTTTGAAAAATAAAAAAAGAATTTATGGTCAGCTGGCTTTTTCTTTTACATATGCTTTTAAAACACATCTGTTGTGTTTAAGTCACAGATTTGAAGTTGGTCTTGTTTCCACACTTTTTGGAGGGGGGTGAAACTTTTTAGCTAACTCTGAATCAGTAAACACCATGGTCTTGTGTGTGTCATCTTTGTAAACCAACAATTTGCCAACTACCATGGCCATTGTATTTAGTTTGCAATTGGTACTATTTTTATTTCAATGAAGAAGAACTACTGAGATTTTATTTGTTTGTAAGATGAGTTTTCTTTAAAAGCTTCCCTTGTTAGTATTTCGTCATGGAGGTATTATATGGAGAACAAGTTCTCTACATTTTACATGCAAATACACATATTCCATGGTGCCTACTGTACCCCTTGATCATAACAGGCATTTGATGAAGGTTTGCTGAATTAACAAATGCATGAACCATATCATATTAATGTTCATATTGGGCTGTGTGAATGTTTCAGTTAATTAAAAATAACTTAAATACATTATTTTAGCCAAATTATTCTATAGTTTAGTATTTTTTCATTCTTTTTGAAATTTTTATCCTTATTGCATTTTTGGGAGAATCTCATTTCTTCTTTTTTCTTTATATCCTTAGAGATTAATCGAGCATGATAGATGGGGCTGGGAAGTTTAACTGCATCATTTTCATTAACAGTGCAGTCAAAATGCCTCACAATATTTTTCTAACAGTCCCCTCCTGCTGTGAATTACTGTAAATTTATTCATGCTGTAAAACAAGTAGTGGTTCGTTTCTTCACAAGGCCTTTCTAAACCTTAGAAAAACTTTATTAATTGCAAGGCAACAAAACATTTTCATGTAACATTTCCATATTAATTAGAATAAAGAGGTGCTATGAGCAATGGTTCTGAAGACTGAAACAGAATCATGTAAGTGCTGGTGAAGAAAGCTGATTTGGCCAGGCTGTGCTGATTATCTTCTCGTATAAAAAATCTCCCTGCTAATTCTTCAAGTGTTTTTAATGAAATTATTTATCATGTAGTATTTTTTAAAAAAAATCTCTGCTCAATTCCT